CACCCCCCCAGGAGCCACCTGTTAGGTTCTCCACAGGTGAAACTCTGCTCCCTCAAGCGATCTGTTCATCCACCAAGTGCCGGATATCGACCAGCCCAAGTGCCTCGATGAAAGCTTTGTGAGCTTGTGTCGGGAGGAGCTTGGTGAGCCCATCTGCTTGCATGTCAGCAGTGGCAACCCACCGGATTGAAAAGTGGCCGGCATCTACTTCCTGGCGTAGCCAGTGGTTGTGAATGTCGACGTGGCGAAGCTTGGTTCGCAGTTGTGGCTGTTCACGAATAAGTAAATCAACCGTTTGTTGGTTGTCGCAGTCAATTGACAGCCCTGATTCGTAGTCAAGTCCAACTGCATGGAGAAGCCTTTTCCACCACATAGCTGACTTGCCGGCTTCTGAGAGAGCAAGCAGCTCCGCCTCCGTCGTGGACGTTGTCACTGTTCTCTGCTTGGTCGCTTTCCAGTCAACGGCAGCGCCGAAAAGCTTACAGAGGAAGCCTTCCGAGCTTTTTCGATCGACGTGATCGCCGAAGGAAGCGTCGCTTGAGAAGTGGAGCGCGGGCGCGTCGTACGTGGGGTGGTATTCGAGAGCAAGGAAGCGAGTATCGTATAGATACTGGATCAAGCGGTTTACTGCTTCTCGGTGCTCTGGGCCTGGGTTCGTGAGGAACTCGGCCAAGTGGTTAGCCGCTCTCGCCGCGTCGGGGCGAGTAATGACTGTGGGGTAGAGAGCAGAGCCGAGCTTTTGCTGGTACTCGAGGATCTGCTCTTTGCTTGCGACTCCGGTGAATGTATTCATGCGATTCACGGGGAGCGGGGTTTTATACTTGCGGCCGTGGGCAAGTCCGTACCTGGCGGCCATGGAAGAGATATAAGAATCCTGACAAAGCCAGAGCTTATGCTTCTGGGTGTCTCGGAGAATGCGGATTCCGAGAAACCAAGCTGCTTCTCCCATTTCACGAAGCTGCCAGTGCTTTTCCAGTTGTTGCCGCAACTGAAGCGCTTGCTGGTGCTTTGACCGGTGAAATACGATGATGATATCGTCGACATAAAAGAAGATGATGATACCATCGTTAGTGAAAAGGCACGGATCTTCTGGGACGAAGCTGAATCCGAGCTTTTTGAGCACGCGAGTGGCTTCTTGCTGCCAAAGACGTGGTGACTTCCTGAGACCGTAAAGTGCTTTTAACAGTCTCCAGGTGTTGCTTCCGTCTCGGAAGCCCTCGGGCATCTGTGTATAAATAGTATCGTCGAGATTACTATTCAGAAATGCGTTCACGGCATCAAGTTGTATGGTGCCTAGGTTGAATGCTGCAACGAGTGCGAAGACTGCTCGAGCAGTGCGGGCAGCAAGTGTTGCTGCGCGCTTTTCGTCCGAATTGATGGATTGCAAGTCACCTCGTACACAAATTCTTGCTTTGAGCTTGGTGAGGAAGCCATTGCTGTCGAATTTGTAGGTGAAAACCCATTTTAAAGGAAGCACTTGGATGCTTCGGTCTTGTGGTCGGGGCTCGACGTTGTACGTGCCACGGAGCTTGATCGATTCCACCTCGAGTCCTGCTGCTGCGAGGAAGCCCTCTGCGAAAGGATGATTGAGCATCTCTTTCCAGTTCTGCGGCTCAGGAGGGAGGTCATCTCGATGGCGGCGAGCTACTGGCCGGTTGGCAGAAAGTCCAGTTGCGAATGCAGCAAGTACGCAATCCGTATCGTCGGTATCGTCGTATGCCATATAGCTTGCCATGTACCGATCTTCCTTTGCTTTCCGCTTCCTCTTTCCTTCAACAATGTTGGAAGGAGTGACATCTCCACGTATCCGGGTTTTGGCTGGATACTGGGTCTCTCCCTGGGCGTACACTTCCGCTTGTGCTTGCGGGAAGTCGCCGGGGACTGGGCGAAGAGGTGAATCGGATTTCTGATGGTTGGGAACCTGCTGCACCACTGTGGGGTGCTGTGAGGCTTCCCAGTTTGTAGCTTGCCGGTTGGCTTGCTGAGACGAAGCTCGCGGAGCTTCTTGCTGGCTGGTTTGTTCGTAAACCAGTTGTCGGATCGGCCGAGTAACTGTTGCTTCTGGCCTAGTGATGGGCCTTTGTGGTTTATATGGAATAACCACTGCGAAAGGCTTGTTTTCTGGTGTAACAGGTGTATATGGAACAGCTGTTAGCGGTGAAATGATCGGGGAAGTTTCCTCACTTCGCGGAAGTGGGATTTCGATCGGTTGCGGGCTTTGCGGAATGCTTTCCGGCAAAGGGATAGCACTTGGTGACGGTGAAGGCGTCATCCAGTAGTGCTGTGAAGGTTGTGAGCTTTGCTCCGGGGACGAAGGCTTCTCTTGTGCTTCGGGAGCAAGCTGCTTGAGGTCTTGGGATGCATCCTGAACGGAAACAGGTTCTGCTTCGGGTTCATATGCTTGCTGATCGTGCTCGTTCTGTATTATTGGTGCTATACCTGCTTGGCGCACCGCTTGCTCAAGCTCTGCATCGAGCTCGTCTTCCTCGATCACTTCGGCGTATTGGACTTGCCGGATCTTGGGAGGCTCTGAAGGATGCTTCGTGTAATTCAAGCTCTCATCAAAAGTTGCATCACGAATGTATTTGCAGCTGTTCGTACGGGGAAACCAGACTTTCCAGATGTTGCTTGCTCGGTATCCTACCAAGTAGCCGATTTCTGCTCGGCGGTGCATTTTGTCTGATTGAGGAATACCCTGGATTCTCACGTATGTGCGGCAACCATAAACCCTTAGGTTTGAGAGGTTGATAGGAACGAAAGTGCCTGTTCCTTGCTGGTGGAACTCTTGTTGTGGGATGATCCACTTGCTCGAGTTGAGCTTCGTCGGCGTTCTGTTTAGTATGTATATAGCAGCTTGAACTGCTTCGGGCCAGAGGTTCTTCGGTAACTGCGAGTCTTCAAGAAGTGCTCTTGCTCTGGCGATGATCACCCCCCCAGATCGCTCGGCGAAGCCATTTTGCTCTGGGGTTCCAACAACTGCTTGTTGGATGATGATCCCGTTTTCTTCGAGAAATTGGACAACTTCGTAGCTGATTGAAGCTTCGTTGTCTGAGTGAAATGCACGAATTGGTAGATTGAACCAAGTTCGTAGTTGTGAAATGAATTGTACGATTGCTT